AGAGAACATCTTGCGCCCTAATAGCTGTCATTATTTGACGAGGGTGGTGATATTCATGACACCTGTTCCTTACTACCCCTCAGGGATCTTGCACAGATAAATATGTTTATCAAGTGTTTCCTGCTTCAGAAGAAAGAGGAATGCAGCTGACTTAGGATCTCCAGGGGGAGATGTCTCCAGGGAGCTGGGGATGGGGCCTGACATTGAGGAGAAAAGTTAGCCCTAGATTTGTAAATCTAGGAGTGATTGATTCACTCTGAGTTGAAGCTTGAAGTTGTGAAAGTGGATGATATTTTAGAGAAACAAAGTATTGGAATCGAAAAAATGACTAAGGATTGAAGCCTGGGGTTGATCACCTTGAAGAGTGAAGGAAGGGGGAGAATCATGCTTCGTTCAACTTTGTGTCTCTTCAACTAGTCCAGTGCCTAGAATGTGCTCAAGAGAGGGAGGGAGGGAGGAAGGGAGATAGTAAGGAAAGAAGGGAGGAAAAGAAGGAGGGAAGAGAGGAAGGAAAGGAGGAAAGGAGAGAGGGAGGGAGGAAGGCCATCAGAATGGCAAGGGAACTAATATTTATCCAGTGCCTATTCTGTGCCACAGACTTCGAATACATCACCACCCTTAATATTCCCCACAACTCTGTAAATAGAGATGATTCTTCTCATGTTACAGATGACAGTCCAGCAGTTCAGAGATGGGTGCCCACAGGTGCACAGGTAGTAAGCGGTAGAGATCAGACATGATCCCAGCCTTTTCAACCCATTTTCTTTTCACCATATTCCTGTAGGAGGGAAACAAAAAACAGCTGGTCAGAGTACAAGCTTAGAGAGAATTGGTAACACACAGGAGAAGCAAGAGCAAAGCAACGTTTGTTCAAGACTGGGGGACCAGAGTGTTTCTTTCAACAAGGTGGATGGAACTCCCAAGATAGGAAGAAATGAAATATTCTGGGATGGGGTGGAGTGGGGAGTGGCATTTAAGAGAAATGGCCTGTACAGGTAATATGGGCGTAGAAAAGAAAGAGGAGCCTGGAGGGGTAGGGAGGGGCTCAGGGAAGTCTGCAGAGACTTAAAATGAATGGAGAATAAGAGTTCACTAGAAGAAAAGACAGGCAAGGCTGTTTCAGGCAGGAGGAACCACATGAAGACCTAAAATGCATGACCTGTGTGTCAGTTAAAATGGAGTTTGGCAGGGAGCAGCAGAAAACCTGAACCCAGTGGCTTAAACAAGTAAGGGGTTCATTTTTCTCATATAACAGGAAGACCAGAGGGAGAGAGCACAGGGCTGGTGTGGCAGTTTAATGAGGATTTTGGGGACCGACTCCTTCTGTCCTCCTGCTCTAGCATCCTTAGCTCAAGGCTTTTGTCCTGTTCATCATAAAATGGTTGCTGCCACTCTAAACATTGCTTCAGAGTTCCAGGCAGGAAGAAGAGGGAAACGATGGACAAAGCTTTGTCCATTTATGTTGGTGGGAAGACTTCCTCCAGGACTTCTGCCCACCTTGAACCAGCCAGAATGGTATAACCTGGCAACTTACCTGCAAGAGAGGGTGGGAATTTGAGTATTTCTCTCTCCACCCTCTGTAGAGAGGAAGGTCAAGCAGAAGGATATTGGACAGGTGTTGATCAAACCAAACTATGGAATCAGCCACAGTGAGTTTGGGAAAGGTGTGAGTGGTTGAGAGCAGTCAGAAGATGTGAGAAGTGACCGGAGATGGAGCTGGTAGGTGGGAACTGAATTGTGAGTGCCCTTCTTTCTCCAGACTTAGCTTAGACAGCTTCTAAGAGGCCAGACCCTGGTGGCCTGTCAGTACTTTAGTTGTGACCCTGGGTTTGGTCCTCAGCAAGAGTGAGTACATCTCTGCAGAAGGGTCTACTCTTAATTCTCTGGAGAATCTCATGGATAAACACGTTTCTCTTTTTCCCATCATATCCCTTCTTCCGTCCGTCCACGCAGTACTGATTAAGCATCTACCATCCATGTGTCAGGCACTGTGCTGAGGTTGTTCTCTCTCCCTCACTCTCCCCCGCCCTCTCTCTCTCTCTCCCTCTCTCGCCCTCAGTTCCCCAGGCTGGGCCAAGACCTTTTCCAAACGTGGGAGCCTAAGGATGAAGAGTTATCTAAGACAGTTGCTATTTCAGTTCGGAACTTGAAGCTAAAAATGTTCGAATGGAAAAAAAAGTTTAAAAATATAGATGTGTATTTTTCTAAAACCCCATTAAGCTGTCAAGGGCCCTCAGTGTGTGTTTCCTTTCCCATCGTTGCTAATCGGCAAGGTATGTGTATGCCCTAAACAGAAGAGCGGCCAGCCTCCTCCTCTTTCCCTTCCCCACCTCTTTCTGCTGTTGCTGGCATTGAGCTGTTCCCTAGCCTTGGGTACCCAGGAGCAGGGCCTCCACTCCCCAGGGAGATACTGGATGGAACAGCACCCCAGCTTCTCCATAGAGCCTGGGACAGCAGAGCCAGCATTCCCAATGGCACAGTCAGACTGTCTGGGCTCAGATCCTGGCCGCATCACCAATTAGGTGTATAACTTTGAGGGTTTTATTTTTCTGCGTCTCAGCTTCCGCATCTGTAAAATGGGATAGATAACATTACCTACATAGTAGTGTCGCTGTGAGATTAAATGAACACGTACAGCACATAGAACAGTGCCCGGGTTTGTAGCAGATGTTCAATGCATGTTGCCCATTATTATTGTTACCATTACTAGTATTGCTAGTGCCTCATGCTCTCCATTCCTTTCTCCAAATTCAGATAGTCTCAAGGGAAAACTAGAAAATGGACCTCAAGATCTCCTTTTCCAATAACATAATTTGAAGATGAGAAAATGGAACAGAAGCGACTTTCCTAAAGCTGCTCGGTTCATCAGCGGCAGAGCCAGGACGTGGGTCCAAGTCCCTTTCCAGACTACCATTGCTTGGGCCGCTCCTCCTCCTCTCTTCCCAGCGCACTGAATGCTGGCACCAAGTATTTCATATTTTCATTGTTTCCAAATGTGTCCCTTCACTCCATCTCATCATCGTGGCCTGTCTTGCGTTGCTTGTGTCCAGAAAGCAGAAACCATACAGGTCTCTTGTTTTGCACAGCGCCCATCACAGCAGCCAGGCAGACAGAAGCCTGAGGAGGAGCAGCTTAGAAGAGGGACTGATGGTGGGGATGCCCTGGGGCAGTTCCAGAGTGGCAGCTCTCCACTCAGACTGGAGGCAGCATCTTGAGACGCTCCCTCTTCCTCAACTTCTCCTCTGGCTAAATGAGAGATTGCTTCAAAAGAAGTATTTACAAGAGGAGATTTGAATATAAGCCAGAATATAGAGAGCACTTTCTAGCCCTGGAACCGTATGATTCTGATATTTATATAAATGCACAGCATCACTTCCAACCCACGGATAAGAGGTAGGGGACGGAGGTTCTGGGGATATTGTGTACATTCCCACTTATTGATCTGGGTTGATCTAGGAGCAGCCCTTCCAGAAGGAGATGAGTATTGTGTATATATATACATACAAACATAAATATATGTGTCTACATAGAAATAAATACTTTGTATACTTTTTCTATACATTATTATGTTTTGACGTCTTAAAAAACCTTTCTGGCAGGGGAGAGAATTCTCCTCCCGGGACTAGCCAGTTCTTAGAGACAGCAAAGGACTCAGCCAGGCACATGCATCTGTTGTGCAGGCTAACCAATCCGGAGCCGCCCCTCCTCTATCTGCCTGTCCACTCCAGAGGGCGAGATTCCTCTGCCTCAATCATCCCAGAGCCAGGTTCTGAGCAACCAGAGACCACCCTATAACCCAAAGCCCACTGAAATTGTTCAAACTAGTCAGTCCTGAGCCATTCACCCTGCCCTGCCTTGCCTTTCCTGCGGAAACCCCAATAAAGACCTTGGCCTAAACCTTCTCTTCACTCCTGTCTTCTGTCTCCTGATCACCCCGGTGTCTTTCCCATGTGATCCTGTGCCATGCCTTCTGTCTCTAGGACCTGTGAGCACAATAAAGTTTGTTTTTTCCTGAGCCTCTCCTTTGTGTCCTCTTGTGGCCACACCTGACTGACCATCACATGAAATACAGAACAAGGTGCAAAAGTTCCCCAAACATCTCACTAGCCCATGACATTACGTCTGGTCTCTTCACTACATCAGCTGCTCAGAAACCACGTGGACTGATTATTAGTTGTCCAGGTTGCATAATGTAGTTGCTACATGTGCTATGTGCACCATGAAATCATGTGGACTGATTGTTAGGTGCCTGGGGTGTGTACTGTAGCGTGCAACGTGTGCTACATGTACCACGAAGGATCCCAAGACAGGCATGCCAAGATCCCAGTGTTTGAGAAGCTTGTAATTTAGTTGAGAAGATAAGCTATACATAGGTGAATAGTTAAATGACAGTTCAAGACATCCTAGCACAGCACAAATAAGGGTGAGGACAAATAAGTGCCAGCCCCAGCGTGCTGAGAAAGGCCACTGGGCCGGGGGTCAGGAAACGAGGGCCCTGCTCCAGGACTACCAACATCTTGCTCTGTCACCTGAGTAATCCTTAACCCCTCGGGAAGTGAGCGCTTGGCCTGGACCCCTAACTCCTTGTGTTCACCTCTGTGGGCCTCCAATCTGCTCATCCTGCAAATATGGTGGGAATTGCTGCCTGCTCTCCAGGGCTGCTGCAGCTCTCCTGCTCTGTGGGTCTCAGAATGCCTGCTCCACAAGTTCAGGACTGGGACTGGGCTTCTGGTGGAAGACCCAGCTACAAGACTGGTGGCAGACACACAGAAGGACCTGCCAGTGCACCTCATCCTCTCACATCTGGGGTTGCAGGCCCCTCTCCACACTGGACAACTGACGGGCCAGAGAGAAGCAGGGTCAGGAGAGTTCCATGGCGAGGAGGGTTCTGCTGCCAAAGTGCACAGCCTCCAGGCCTGATTCACTGCCTGAGAAATGCAGAAAGAGAGAAGAAAAGCACTTTTGGGAAAGCATTCTCAGAAAAACACTGTGCGCTTGAAAACAGCTATCATTGTCCCTCATTTATTTTATATGAAACAAGCGTTCAAACAAATTCTAGAACTTTCCTGTGGGCCATTGGCCTGAAGGAGTACTTGCATGTTGCTGCAGTGACTGACTTTTCAGCACAGCTTCCCCTGGCGCCATCTTCTGAGATGCCTGAACCACATCCCTTATTAATGTCCAAATGCTTGTGACCCCCCAATGCAGGCTCAGCGAGTCATCGTCAAAAGAAAGATTTCTTGGACTCTCAAGTTCTTGTAGTGGTGCTCCTTGATTCAGAGAATAGCATGGATTAGCACGGGGATAGGACTCATGGGCGGTGAAGAGCTGCAGTGGCTTGAGGGCAGGGCTAAATTTACAAGGCAGAGGCATGTGAGTTATTTCTTTACAAGACAAAGGAAAGATTACGTAAAAAAAGTCATTAAAATGGTATCAGCTCACGTGGGGTCTGGTTAGCAGGTGGTCCTATAACTTTGGATACGAATCAGGTCGACTCAGGTCAGGACATCCTGTGCTTCCGGGAGGATGAGCTCGATCAGTATGCAGGGCAGGACGCCTTAGGCTTTTCTCCCTGGGGCAGCCTTGATCCTCATCATAAAATCCCCCTTGAACCCATTTGGCCTCGAAATCTTTTGGGGGTATGGACTACGGTCAGTCTTCTGTAACTACCTCCAGCTGTACAAGATCGTAGAGCTGTCCCTAAATGGGGCCATAGGGGTACAGGAAGGAAGTTCAGTGGACCGAAGGTTGTGCCTGCAGAGTCCAAGGCTGACAAGGTATACAGATCCTCTGGAGACGAGAGAATCATTTGATGAGAAGTGGTCCAGGAGACGAAACTTCGTTGACATGTGGAAGACAAACAATGAAATAGACAACAAATTATAATAAGAAATACAAACAATATGATTAACTCAAAGAAAAAAGCTTTGATAGTAATCCAGAGACCTGGACCTGACCAGGAGTCCAACCAATCATTTAGGGATAGGGTAGGGTCAGAAATGGATTTAATTTGGTGGCTCATATCAAAGAGGAAGCCAGAGATATTTTGATGGTAGTCAGGAATATAGACACAACATTTGGTTTTTATAATGGCACAAGTGCCCCCGTGCGCTGCCATCAAGACATCCAGTGCCATTCAGTTTTGGAAGGCCATCTCTACACATTTGGGATACTTCTAAATTGAGCAGCAAAAGGCTGTGTTGTGTATTGTTTAATGCCTTCACGGTAAATTTGTTTAGGGCTTCCATGTGCCAGATGACACTTCTGAGTCCTAACTGGGGAAGAAAAATTGAGGCAAGGTGATCATACCAGTGGAAGACAGAATGGATCCAGCGTTGTTGTAGGTTGGGTAGGTTAGCAGGAGGAGATAAAGTAAATGTAGTTCTACCTTGCATCCAGAGGAAGCCTAGGGTGCACCATCCAATCCATCCAGGCAGCAGCCAAGGCCATAAAGCTGGAGCCGCATAAACATTGAGTGCTGTTAGGAGCTAACCGATGTATGCTGGGCCATTTATCCCAGTCAGTCCCAAACCAATCAATATTTTTTAAGGCTATGCTATCAGAACACATGGAATGGGGAATTTGTCCCATAGGTTGGGTGCTATTAGGCCACGTATCACAAGTGTGATTGGTTTGTTCCCAACATAGAGTGGCCTTTTGACTGAGTTGACCACTGGTAGGAGTGAGCCAAATATATTTGTCCCAAATTTGATATAGTCCATCCTGTGTGTATCAATAAGCTGGGGACTTTACCTTTGGAACTTGTTGTTTATGATGCACCTGTGACAGGCAAACTTAGTTAGTATTTGGGCAGTAGAATTGAAGGAAAAAGTTTGATTGTAGCCAGGGAGCTCCCAGGTATCAGAGACGAATGGCCACAAGGAGACATTATCATTAGTAATAGATAAATCTTTTAGAGGAGAAGAGCTAGAATCTAATATCCATGAATGTGTAATATAGCTTCTACTGAAACATAATTTTTCTCTCTAAAATCTCCCTCATTTTTACAAAAGATAGCCAAGTTAAGATCAACTGGTTTGCAAAATAAGTGTAGCTTCAATAAAACTTGGTCCAACTATTTACATAAGTGCAGCAAGAATAGCAATTGCTTATATAGGCTCTTTTAAATCTGCTTTGCTGGAATTTTTTATGAGGAACCTCAAATTGGACTATAAAGCCTCTCGAGGCCAGGAAAGCCAAGCCAAAGACTTGCCATCAAATCTTGCCTGCAATACCTACAGATTTGGGTGGATTCCGCTCTTTTCGAGGTCCCCCCAAATATTTCAAGGTTTCTTGCACCTGCCAGGAGAAGTGAGCGTCCTTACTTACCAGGTAAGATTGCTGGAATCTCTGTAAACAAGGTACCAGGCCAACATTTCCAAGTGGCTTTGTTCCAGAAAGTCAACCTTATTCCTCAAAGGCAGTATTGTCATATCTGAGACTGTATGTTTCTCTCAAATATGACATTCCAGCCAAAGCCTCAGCAATAAAACCAACGTTTCCCAATGTGCCCTGCTATAAGGAGAGCAGATTCAGGGATGGCCCGGTGGCGCAGTGGTTAAGTTTGAACATTCTGCTTCTCGGCGGCCCGGGGTTCTCCAGTTCAGATCCTGGGTGCAGACATGGCACCACTTGGCAAAAGGCCATGCTGTGGTAGGCATCCCATGTATAAAGTGGAGGAAGATGAGCATGGATGTTAGCTCAGGGCTGGTCTTCCTCAGCCAAAAGAGGAGGATTGGTGGTGGTTAGCTTAGGGCTGATTTTCCTCAAAAAAAAAAAAAAAAAAAAAAATATATATATATATATAAGGAGAGCAGATTCTTATTGAACTTACGCAAATAACTATATTGCCATGAAATAACCATACTCACTCAAAGAGTTTCCAAATTCTGGAGGGATCAGGTAGGGAGAAAAAGATAAATGTTTCAGTTCTGCTCACAAAGGTATAATTTCACGAAATTGCTGTAAGTCATAGTTAGCATAAGAGAAAAGAGAAAAGATTTCCTTAAATCTGAGAACACAAAACAAAACATCAAAAATTCAACAATATTTCAAATAAAAGTTATAAAAAATTATAATCATCCTCACCAGTTCATACAGTCCTGTATAATCAATTCTTGATCTTAGTCTTCTGTTAGGCAGGTTTATGAGGCCAAGTTTCTCTGTTAGAATTCCATAATTTCTTACCCAATTCGGTTCTACCATGTGAAAGTTTATCAGAAAGCTGTATTCTAGAATCCTGTGTCAGAATCCTTTCCACGAATTTCTCTGAAGACAAAATATATTTGCAAAACCATGAAGCATCAGAGTAAAACAGCAACTATCTGCAAATGACAGAATATTCAAAAAGGAAACTGACAAAGAAGCTTGGCTGTGACATCAAGATAATAACTAGAATTATGGTTGATAACCAGGACAGATCAGAATTTTAGGAATGTTATATAATTTTAAAACATTTATAGCAATATCATTCACCCACATAATACCACCTAAGAAAGTTTATCATCACTTATTTGACAATGCTTAGCATGTAGTTTAATAGACAAAATAAGCCTAATTAGTTTAGTATTTTCCTCCCTTAGGAAGAGAGCATGAATTTCTTTGAGAAGTCTCAGGGGTCCTCTGAAAATCCTCAGAGAAACACTCTTTCTTCTTCCAGGTCAAAAGAAAGGCTTTATTCAGGACTTGAATATTCTTTTGAGGGAGAAGCTTGTCAAAAATATCAATAGGTTTTAAAACCCTTGTTCAAATAGGAAACAAGTCTCACTAGGAAACAACCCTCAGGTATATATTCAAAATGACAAGAGAAACAGTCAAGAGCAGTTAAAACAGTCAAAAAATCTTAAGCGAGATCTCTTTCTTTCTGAACATAGGAAATCATTTTAGCAAAACATAGATTTTCTGTCTTTTAGGTAGACTTAGAGCAGGCCAAAAGTTCAACGAAATTATCTTTTGAGAGAAAACCAAATTTGAACTTTTGCACCAGCTTATTTTTAACATTAAAACTCATTTACTTAACTGGATTTACTTTAATCTTAGCCAACTTGACCAGGCATAAAACTCTCTGAGACCTTCTCTTTCACAAACCTTCTAAAATTTTCTTTTTACATTCGGAATTTGTCCCATGCTCTCATTCTTCCCTTCTAGTACTTTAGAACAAATTTATCTTTCTTAATCCAACAAACAGAAATACTTACATTCTTTATACCCTCTTCACTGTAAACATACACTACTTTCCTTGAATACAGAGCCATTTTCCTTATTAATTTCCAGTAGCTTTAATTACATATATTAACTACAGTTTTTAAACACTTACAGACCCTAGTGAAAACTAAAAAACTAATCAACTGTGAACTGTCTTTTATATCAACATTCTCAACACTTTTCATAGGAAACATGCTGCTTCACAGTAATAAAACACAGGTATGTTTACTAACAGACCCAAACATCCTTTAGCCTCTCTGCAGTAAGAAGCCCAAAGGAGACAACTTAAGATACGTTTAACATTAATGTTTCAGTGTTCCATCCTATCCAAAAATGACCCAGATATGCAACAGATTTTTATCATTTAACTTAACTTGGCAAAACTCTAAAGTTTTAAGTTACCAAAAAGAATTTGGAAGCTGTTTTTTCCCCAAGTATACAGACCATAAAACATAATTATTATACCCACAAACTCTTACCCATTTTTATTGGTTTAAATCATTTGTTTCCAACAATTATGTTCAGACTACCCACAAAAACTTCATGAGACATTAGACAAAATTAGCTATCATTTAAAGCTATTATTTTTCTGACAAATTTCTAACAGACAACACGAACTTTTTTGACTAGTAAACCCAGGCTACATGCCTGCATCATATCCAAATATCGATAGCCCTAAGGCAATGCCTATTTCAATCAAACCAACAATCTTAAACAAGCTTTCATTTACCAAAGGTTAATTCATGTCACATTAACTTGAAAGACATTGGTTTAATTTCTACTACATTTAGAATTTATGTAAGTGTTTACTTTAAGCCAATTAAACAGAGCTCTCGATTTTGGGCATACCATCCAGAAGTAAAATATCACACGTATATAACATACATATAGACACACATACACAGAGTCTCCACACCTACTGTTTTAAAAATTACTGTCATGAATCAGGTACAGTAATACAAAAGTTACCAGTTATGAATCCAAATTTTGTTCTGAGCCTTTTTACTAATATTTGTGGAGAAGACACTCAAGATGCTAGATTTTTGGTGAGGGTGCTCTTATGGCCGTTTTTTCCTTTTACCTTTTTTTCCACTCAGTCTTAGGAATTAGTGATGGGCTAGATAGTCCTCAGAGGATTTGAAATCTCTTTGAGATAAGGGAAATGGGTGGAAGCTGAACTGCCTCTAGAACTGCTTTTCCAGCCTTACAAGGATTTTCCAAGGACAGTTGCTTTTGATTTCCCAGAAACTGGGTTGTAACTCAAATGACATTATTGGTTGATCTACTTGTCCAACTACATCACAAAGGCACAGAGAAACCCCTCAAGTTTTCTCCAAGATGGAGTCTCCATCCAATTGAAAGTGTTTCCCATTAGTTAAAATGCATCCAAGGAGTGAGTCTCCAGGGATGCTTGGGGCATTCCCCATGGCAGTAAAACTCATGTCCAACTATCAATGGGCCCAGAGAAGGGTGCAGAGTTGACTGCGGGCATCAACATAGTTATAAGATTTAGTCAAGTCCCACTCAGCCCAGGCACTTAGTCCCTGAGCCAGCACAAGTTGAGCCAGGGAAGAAGGAGGCAAAGGCCTGGAGCTGGCTGGGGCTCCCAGTGCCAGGATTGAGAGTTAAGTCCCTTGCAAAAGTTTTAAGTTTTCGATTTTACAGAAGGTCCAGGTTTTGCTCAGGTCCAGCCTGAACTTAACCTTGACTTGGTGACAACAGAGGAGGTGATGAACAAAATAGACAAAGGAAAAGAAGAGATCAGGCCTCGCCCTCATGGCCTCTTCTAGAGGGTTATCAAGATAAGGGTCACACAACAGTTCCTGTGCCAAGGCACACAAAACCAGCAGAACAGTTCACAGAATAAATCACAGGTCTCCCATCCTTATAACTGACTCAGTAGGTGCCTAAAATACTCAACGAGTCAACTGCCAAAAGAGGGCACCCTACTTGGGGTCACTGGGGTGATCAGACCCAGAAACCAGAGTGAGGGCTCCCGGGGTAGGGCCTTTGACTCTTTAAAGATTTCTTTTTTTCTTGGTTGCAAAGCTCAAAAGGAGACCAAAATGACCACTGTAACTTTAAGAGAGATGAAAGAAAAAGGTCCATTACCTTGAAAATCCCCCCTGAACCTAGGGCATCATCCTACCTGTTGTTCCTCCTGTGGGGTTCCTATAGCATGGGATGATGGGGGTGTGTCCAGGCACTGCATCCCTTGTATATCTTCCCTATTATGGCTGACAGTAATAGGTGCCTGGTGAATGGTCCCAGAGATGAAAGAATAGAGAAAAACAGTGAAGAATTTTCCACCAGTCTGGGGGACATTCTACCCAATGGCATCCTGGAGCCGTTCTCCCAAGAAGGGGATCCCATACTCAACCAAAGATTAAAATTTGGTACTTTCCTGGAATTGGAGTCCCGATTGGGACTTTCCTGTGGTTTGGAGTGTGGTCAGGAGCAATAGGGAAGGATTCTAATCCAGCTTAGGGAAAGAAACCTGCCACAGGAGTCTTGGAGAGTGGCGACCATCCTAATGACTTAAGTGGTCGATCCGTGCCCATGTAAAATTTATATATTAGAGATAGGATTAGGAAGGAATGGATTAATTCATTCATCACCCTCAGGCTTAAGATACTGATTCTCTTCGGGCTGAATGCCATGATTTGCCCCATAGAGTAGCCATGGGCAGCAAATGTGGATTCATACAACTGTCTGAGAAGGTTCCTGATGGAGAAATGAATTTAGATCCATCCTTGAAAAAGAGGAAGGCACAAGAAAGAAAAGGGCACTTACCAGAACTTCAGCTCACAAGTCAATGAAGCAAGATCCCCGTACAGGCCACCAGAAGAAATGACGCAGGCTCTGTGAGTCAAGGAGTCGAAAGAAAAATTTCTTGGACTCTCAAGGTCTGGTAGTAGTGCTCCTTTATTCAGAGAATAGCATGGGGACAGGACCCATGGGCAGTGAAGTGCTGCAGGCACAGGGTCAGGATTCACAGGCAGTGAAGAGCTGCAGGCATGGGGACAGGACCCATGGACAGGGAAGAGCTGCAGTGGCTTGAGGGCAGGGCTAAATTTATCAGGCATAGGCATGTGAGTTATTTCTTTACAAGACAAAGGAAAGATTACGTAAAAAAAGTTGTTAAAATGGTATCAGTGCAGGTGGGGTCTGGTTATCAGGTGGTCCTACAACTTTGGATACGAATCAGGTCAACTCAGGACAGGACGTCCTATGCTTCCCAGAGTATGCAGGGCAGGACGCCTTGGGCTTCTCTCCCTGGGGCAGCCTTGATCCTCATCACCCCCCAAACTAACCTCCTGTCTGCCTTTCTTGCTCAAGCCTGCCTCCATAAAATGTACTATCAGGAGAGTAAGCTTCTTTCTTAGCAACGGAAATCCCACTTATCAGTTAGGAGTTTTTAGGCTGCAAGTCCTAGAATATCCTGCTGATAGTGGCTTAAAGCCTTGTAGACCTTTACTATCACCTTTAACAAGAAGCCTGGAAGCAGGCAGTGTTATGATCATTCAGCAACTCAACGATTTCAGCAGGGCCTGGGCTTTTTCTGTCCTTTCTCTCTACCACTCTCATAGTTACAACATGGTGGCCGAAGTTCCAAGTGGCAAATGCTCACATGAGAGACCAGAATTGGAAGCACGCAGGGGCTAAAGGTCATTTCTCTTCACATCTCTCCTTGATCAGGGAGGAAAGTCTTTCCCAAACAGAATTCTGTCCTGTTTCATTGGCCAGGACTGGATCAGATGCCCATCCCAGACCAGTTGTTGGCAAAAGCAATTGCTTTGTTGATACAGATCATACATTCTCAATGGGGCTGGTATCACACTCAAGGGGATGAACATTAGTTCTAGGGAGCAAAAAATCTTACTCTTTTTATGTGTAAAGCACAGATATACATACAGTATATAAACATGTATACAGTATAGCTGTGGTATTAAAATTTCATGGGAGGAGGCAATTAGGAAAAAAATGTCTAAAATGGATCCTTAGGGGGATAAAAATTGTCATTTTTTTGAAAAAGTTGATCCACACAAAAACCTGCACGTAGTGTTTACAGCAGCTTTATTCATAATTGCCCAAACTTGGGAACAACCAAGATGACCTTCAGTAGGTGAATAGATAAATAAACTGTGGTAGAGCCAGACAATGGAATATTATTCAGTGCTGAAAAGAAATGCAATACCAAGACATGAAAAGACATAGAGGAAACTTAATGCATATTACTAAGTGAAAGAAGCTAAACTGGAAAGCCTACATACGCTGTGATTCCAACTATATGACATTCTAGAAAAAGCAAAACTATAGAGACAGAGAACGGATTAGTGGTTTCCAGGGCCTAGGGAGGAGGAAGGGATGAACAGACGGAGCACAGAGGATTTTTAGGGCAGTGAAAATACTCTGTATGATACTATAATTATGGATACATGTCATCATACATTTGTCCAAACCCACAGAATGTACAACACCAAGAGCGAGCCCTAAAGTAAACTATGGATTTTGGGTGATTATGATGTGTTGATGTAGGTTCATCCTTGTTAACAAGTGTACCATTCTGGTGGAGGATGTTGACAATAGAAGCATATGCATGTGTGGGGCACTGGGTATATGGGAAATCTCTGTACCTTCCCCTCACTTTTGCTTTGAACCGAAGACTGCTCTAAAAAAATAAAGTCTTAAAAAACACTTTGAGAGCCACTGACTTGGACCAATCACAATTGATTGCCAGGGCCTGGGGACATTTCTTTTGGCCAGGAAGTCTGGGGAAAGATGGCCAGATAGGCACCGACAATGTTTGCCACATCCTGTCTAGAAAGAAACATGCTTTGTGAGGTGAATACCTGCTGGGTATGTGTGTGGGTGTGAAATTTCAAGGGCACACTGATTATAATATATAATCACAGATCTGCTTTCAAAGATGGGTAGGGCTGGCTAATTCCATGATTGAGCTGGCTTTGTAAACTGAAGGCCAGGGCTGAATTTCTGGGGATGATGGTGAGAATAGGCAAGGGACTGTGGGGGAAAGAACAGAACCATTTAAAGGAGATTCTCAGGAAGTTTGGTTGTGTGCTGAATGACTGTGTTAAATGATTCAAAGTATTTTTTTTTCTCTCTGTGTGGCTCCAACAAGATGAAGTCTGTGTCTCTAGGTCATTAGCACTCTACTCCAGAGAACGCATACCGCCGTACTCATCGAAAAAATTGAGGGGACCAATCTTCTTGAACAGTTAACTATCTCCAGGCAGTGTGAGAAATACAGAGGCACAAGGAATTTCTTGCATTCTTCCACTCCTAGAATCCACCTCAAATTTTGCCCCACTTCTTCCTCTCATGGTTGTCCTTCTCTCCAAGTTGCTAGATTACTGTTTTTCCAACCCCCTATTCCTGTTTTGAGTCAAGTTTTTAGTCAAGTCAAGTCAAGAGTTCTTTGTTCAGGAGAAGTTCTGGGTTAAGCCCAGCCTTCTTTGCTGGGGGTTGGGTGAGCTGAGGAAGATGCCCCCGTGCCCTGGAGTCGTTGTGGAATTTCCCATCTCTCTCATCTACCACCACTATCACATCCTCCGTTTTGGTTCTCCTGGAGTTGTGTCTTACAGACTTTACATGGTGCCTCAATGTTTGCTCTTCCAGCCTCTTTGGGCTCCTGGGTGGTAGGGACAAGCAACATCACATGCATCTTAAACACCTCATTCCTGAGGCAAGACTACGGAGTGATGGTCTCTTCTGATAGCACTGGGCGCACCCAGTTGATGCTCCTTGACAGGGAGAGACTCCCAGTGTTCTCACTCCTTGACCTGGTCCCTGCAGCCCACACAAACAACTCCTCTGCTGATGTCACTGAAAATCAGAAGTAGTCATCCCTGGGCGGTGGGAGTAGTGGGAATGCGCACTCTCTTCTCTGAGCCTTTCTGCAGCACAGTGGTTCTCAGCCCTGGCTGTACATTTAAATCACGGGGGGAGTTTGAGGTCAATATTACTGCCCAGGCCACAGCCCAGACCAATTAAATCAGAATCTCTGGGGATGAGGCCAAGGCTTCAGGATTTTGTTAAAGCTCCCAGGTAAGGAGCTATGCGCCAGCGTCGAGAACATGTATGTGTATGTGTGCATGTGTGTTTGTGTGTACTTTTCTTACAGTGAGCACACACTTCTTTTTGAAATCTTAAAAGAAAATGAAGCAATTTTCATCTTGAAAAAAAGAATTAACCCTTCTGTCTCAGTTCCTGCAAAAAAGTTAGCCCTTCTGTTTAAAATTTTTAAAAATTTACTATAAAGGAAAAACTTGTATATAAGCAGAAAGCTTACATTTTCAGTGCTGTGTGTAATGACAAATGAAGTAAGAAATTAAAAGAAAAGTTAGTTAAATCACAATTTTAAATAAATACCACTTTTATTTTATTTCTTTAAATAAGGTAACTATGTTTTCATGGCATTTTTGTAAGGAGAAAAATATGGAAAAGAAATTCAAACTGAGTAACAAATCAATTGAACATAAAGTTTTCAGTAGGAGCCCATATATGTCCTTGCCATGTCCTGATCTTTAAATAGGTTTTTTTATTTCTGTACCAACTCGTGTGATAGATGTTTCTGGTGGAAGCTGAGATTTTTGTAACTGCACGTTTTGTACCAGATGTGGTTGTAAAAGTAGTGGTTGCTTGGATTGAGGTCAAAGAAGAAAATAGAAGAATAAAGGGTAAGGAAAAGTGTACTGTGCTTTCAGGTACCTTTTCCCACTCCTTAGCTTCAGCCCTGTCCACGGAAGCAGCTGCTGAGAACAGGTAACTTGGAAAAGTTAACCCCAGGTTTCCCCCCAATGACTGAGAGTGATATGCATGACCTTCCAAGATATAGACTCACAGTCCTGGGCCGTGAGGCTCTGACCCCTGGCAGAGCTCACAAAGCCCTGAGCCTGCGCCTCTCAGAGCAGCAGGTGGGATGATTTACAGGGGAGGCGCCAACCTTCATGACAACTCTGTGCTGGTGATTAAGGTGGTGGTCGTATCCAGGTGTTCATTTCTCTAAACCTTGCCTTCAATGTTATCACAGTCAACTGAATTAATAATGAATCTATCTAAAATTTCTTTGAAGGATAATGAAGTTAAAAAATAATGCCTTTCTATATCAAGGCCCTGTCTGGGGCCAGTGTTCCTACATTATATGTGAAGTAGCCCAACCACTTACGTGCTGAAATCCCAAACATGCATAGTCCTCTTCTCTCAATAAGAACAGCACCTCTCACATTCGTGTGCAGTGGCAAAGATCTTTGTTTTCAAAGATCTTGGATGTATATTTGTTAATCCATATTTTTCTCCTTTGTAATTATTCTTAAGTATTTGCCCAAGAATGTTGTGTCTTAAGTAGAGAATAAGGCCCTCAAGGGAAGGAACCATGCTATTGATGTTTCTCCCCAGGACATCCCTAATATGTTGAATTGCACACTAGTGGTGGCTAATGAGTGCATGGTTACCAGCCAATAAGATCACCAGATCACCGGCACTTTGCTATCGCATCATAGCACTGAAAGCAAATGAGGGGAGTTGAGATGAGAGTCAGTGTCAGAGGACCTTTAGAGAACATCTAGGATTCGATTCAGCCCAATGCCGTCAGTTCACAGAAACAGAGACCCAGAGAGATCAAGCAACTTGCTAGTAAATATATATTAAAAAGAAATCATCCAAATACACGTGTCACAGACTGCTGGCACCCTGTTCCACCTTCCCCTGGAGGGCAGAGCCCTGGCAGCAAAGTTAATAAGGTTGGGATTATTAAAGTCCATTTCAATGGAAAAAGATCTGTCTGTATATTAACTGTATATCTTAAGGGAGGGCACACTGACCCCTCTGTAAAAATTATGACACTTAGAAACACAAAGGAGTATAAAGCTGTTGTTGTTTTACTTTCTTAAAACACTGAACTAACTAGCTTAGCTTTTAGGATGAGGTCCTCTAGGGTAGGTCCCTTTTATGGGGAGAAAATGAAGACACCCCAGTGCCAGCTGCCCTCCCAGAACCCAGTGAAGTCAAGCAAGCCTGTGTGGG